ATATAATACAAATTTAAAAGAGAAATATATGAATATATAATTCATTCTATATGATTATTCAAAAATGATAAATTTAAATAAATATTAATTGACATATTTATAATAAAAATATACAAGAGAAATATATGAAAATACTATTCATTCCATTTGATTATTAAATAATTATAAATTTCATTATTATTATTATTATTTTTATTATAATTCATTACCCCAATTATTCTCATTATATATCTTTTAATATCTTTTTATTTATTATTCAAGACTTCTTTTAATTTCTGTATTCACTTTGCTTTTAATGGCTTTTTCTAATATATCATAGAAGTTTATTCCATGATATGCAGATAAATGCAAAAGTCCACATCTCCTATTGATATGAATTTTGCATTTGCTAAAATTCAATAGAAACAGATATTTAAGATTATTTGGTAAATTCATAAATCCATAGGTTTCTTTGTTTTTTTTTTAATATCCATAATTTGTTCTTCCTCTCCGTGTCTGTATGAACACTTTATTGATGTTTCCCATTATTTTTCAATTGCTTTGTCCAAACATGATCCTTAAATTAGTTAAAGAAAACAATCGTCTGTACATTAGTGCAACTATAGAAACCTCTTCATACTTTACTTCCAAAAAGCATTAATTTTATTTTATATTTCTTTTGTTTAAGTGGATAAAATCGGAAGTATATATTAGATTTGAGGGTTAATATATTTTTTCCAAAGTAAAATTCTGGTTCCTAGGCTAAATTTTTTAGATAGTTTCTTCTATATTTACAATTCTAAATATTTTATTTTTGATTTGGTAGCATTGACATGATTATTAATATTCCCCCTTCCATCAATATCTACTCCAAGGTACTTATAATTTCTTTGAAAAGGAATACCAAGCAAATTTTTTTATTCTTATAGTTCTAATTTCAATAATCTTCTGGTTGTTCTTATTATAGCACATTTTTTTGTATTTATTTGGATTTTTAGATTCTAAGAAGCTTTATTAAGACATTATAGTGTGGAATCAAGATATTTCTCCTTGCATATAAAGGCTAAATCATCTGCATATAAATAGTAGTGGTCAATTCTGCTGAAATTATATATTTGTTCCATTTTTTTTATTAAGATGTGTGAGTATATATCAAAAAGAAATGGAGATAAAATTCTTCCTTATGGTATTCCATTGAAAAAGCTATCTTTTTATTTTTATTTTTGATATAATGCCAACTCATAAGGCTTGGTAGGAAATTTAATTCATCTTCGTCGAGTACTCCCATTTCTTTGAGAAAATTAAACAACACCTCTATTTTGCACAGTTATAAGCTGAACGGAAGTCTATAAATATAACGACTCTATTATCTTTTTTCTTGAATTATTATATGTTTGTAATCAGTTTTAATATCTGTGGTTGTGTTCCAGCTCCTTGTACAAAACCGAATTATTCTTTTATAATCTTTTTTTCACAGTATTATTAGAGTTTCTTAAAGAACCTCAGTTCCAGCCATTTCATTATAGGACTTTACACTATGATTGGTCTAAATTGATCTTTTTCAGGAATGTTTGGAAAGGCTTTGTTGAGTGGAATCAATCGGTTTTCCCCAAAATTTTCAATTAAATCCGCTGTTGATTGCTGCCACAAATCAGACATTTAATTGTATGTACTATGTTATTTAATCCAAGTATCAGAAATTAGATCAAAGGTTAGTCCTTTGTTTTGTGACATTTTTTCTTTCATAAATTTGAAATCTTTTAGGGTGATTTGTTGCAATTTTGGTAGTTATTTTGGTGAATATTTTTTAATTGTTTAGAAAATGCCAAGTTAATTTAGGCAATTTGAAAGAATTTATTCATTATCAGTTACCAGGTCATTTCCATCAAGAAAACATTTCATTAAACCTCCATCTCTTTTTGCTGGTTTAATGATTACGAGCCTATCAATGATGCGAAAGGCTTAATTGCTATATTACTTCTAAGGTTTTTTTCTATTTCCTTCAATGTTTTATCAATTGATGATTCTTCATAGTGATTTAATTGCCTCAGTTTTTCTCTTATTCTATTAAAACATTTGATACGGTTCTATTTCAAATTATTATAGAAATCAGCAAAGGACTTAGATTTGCAGTATTGGATATTAAGAGAAAGAATATTGAGTTTTATAGGATAGAATTAGTATCGTCTAGGAGTGAGGTGTGACTATTGGATCTCTATTTTGGAAGTTATTATTATATGATCTGAGAGAGAATTTTATTCGAACGTGCATTTAGCTTCTAAATCCGCGTTAATTAGTAGGCAGTCTGTTTGCTTTTTACTACTTTTGACTATATAATTCTGCTAAAAGTGTGCTGAGTTTATGGCACTAGATCTTTTAATTGCATCAGTTAGGTTTTCGATTGGTTAATGTCACCACAGACAATAATAATGGCTTTATGTTTTACCCTTAATAAGCTGATTAAAAAATTCTCCAATTGTTTCTTTGATTTTTAGAAGAATTGTTTTTCTGGTGAGTAGATATTCAATATGAATATTTCTAGTCTTTATCCAGTTATTTAGATCAGTTACCACTCTAATTATTTGTCTATTTGAGGGAGTATATTTGAAATATCTTTCGTGAAGAATTAATTGTGAACTCTGATTGCTATCCCATCTCCCCTGGTATGATTTTCTTTTCTTAATCTATTATAATATGTATAAGAAGGGGAGTTCAGTATTTCTTTTCTTGTTTCTTGAAAGCACATTATATGTGCTCCTGTTTATTTGGCAGTTTTTAGAGTATCATATTTCATTTCATTGAGGATACGTTCCATATGAGGACGATTAATTAATTTGGAGTTTATGATTTTATAGTTTATGAGCATATGCTCGTTTTTGTTTTTGTGCTTTTGTAATTATGGTCAGCAGCACAGATCTGACTTACCTGAATTAATTCCTCAAAAATTATTATTTTTTTTTTACTACAAGGTAGAATGGTGTTTTTTTGTAATGTGTTGTTTTAATCCTGTCTTACTTTTAAAGACAACTTTACATGAATTGCAATATCTATTCAGGTCTATTTAGTAGTCATTGTTAGATTCTTATTGTGAAATACCTAATAATTTGGATTCTTCTGTATCATCTATTTAAATGGGCTTTTCTTAGTATATTAAACTGATTCCATTATCATAATTATTTTGTACTACACTTTCTTTTGTTTTATGGAAGAATTGATTGGTTTTTTGGTTTTAGTTTATTATAGAAAATGATCTTTCTAAATTCTCATCTTCTTTTTGGTCTATTTATTATCTTTTCTTGATAACATATGGACTATCTAATGAGTAAAGTCCATTTTTCTTAATTAATTTCAGGGTATATTTGAAAGATCTTCCATAATAGTAGGTGTATTTTCCATTATGTATTATTATCTTGAATCTTGTTAATCGTGCAATTAGTTCAAGATGAGAATATTTTTCTCTGTTGATCCTTTTTTATAGTATTTAAAAATCAACTTATCTTTTTAAAATGAAATTATCAAAAAATCCATATGTGAGTATTTTTAAAGTTGTGTCGATGTCATGAAATTTGCATTCTTCACTATTTTAATGGATAGTACAGAGTTACTAATAATAGAGTGATTACTAGTTATTAATGTGAGATTTTGATTAATCTCTAATGATATTAAAAATTATATTCAACTCTTAATTTCTGATTTTTTCTCTAAACTTTTCTCTTTTGCTTGATATAAGTTCAGAGTTTGTATGTTATTTATCTTAGAAGGATTATTCATCGGTTGGTTTTGATATATTAATCATAATTAAATTTTAATTAAAATATAATAAATTTCATTATAATTAATAAAATATAATTTCAAATAAAAATACCAAAGTAATTAAAAATTTCAATGATTATTGATAAAATATCATTTAAAGTAAAATGTTAAAATATTATTCATTGCTTTATGTTGTTAATTAATATTAATTTGAGTAAATATTCATAAAATATACTTTAAAGTAAAAATATAAAAGAGAAATATATGAAAATATAATTTATTGCATTACATAATGAATATATAAAAAATTAATGTAAATTTTTTAAATTATCATTAAATCTACAATAGGATAACAAAAATAAATGAAAGTAAAATAATCATAAATATTCTTAAGTAAATTATTATAAAATATGATTACAAGTATAAAATTTCAATATATATAGGGAAATATTATTAATAACATAACATTATTACCTCTTTATTAATTATTTTAAATGTTTAATAAATATAATAGTAATAAAATATAAATCAAATATATATATTTAAGAAGCAAATACGAAAATATTCTTATTTGAAAAAAATTATATAAATTAATTTTCTGGTTCCATTAGTTAATAGATAATTTTTTTATAAGCTGCTTACTAATGACACGTATCCCATTTTTTGTTTAATTTTTATGCTATAATATCCAAAATTAAATATAAAATTGTAAGATCTTAAGATTGATTATTTTTAATTAATATTATTTTGAAAAAATTACACATTATATCATTATAAAAAATTTGCTGCCTTTTAAATGTTTTTTACATATTTTATATCACACAAATGAACTACTAAATCTATACTTTAGTGTTTCATGTTTATTCATTTATTGTGAAATATTCTCATTAGATTTATTTTAATTTGACACGATTTATATGGGTGTAGACATTTTTTTTGTGATATGATAATTATTTGGTTTTTAAAGAATAATCAATGCAAAGAAAAGTTTTAGATTCCGCAGAGCATGTTTTACTATATCCTTATTCGCCTTATCTAAACCCAATAGAAAAATATGGAGTTATTATAACATTAGTTTATCAAAATCAAATTGCAGATCAGAAATTAAACTCATTTTGGGGATAAATCATTTATCCAAAATATATCGAATGAAAAATTTATTAAATTAATACAATCTATATATAAGGGTTGTAAATTATGTTTGAGAAATAAGAAATATGAATGACATTTTTTAGTGCATGATATTAGTTAATAAAATATAAATACTTAAAGGAGTTCAATGCTGATAGACAAACAAATTCTTTGTGAATATTTCTTTTAATATTGTTTTTGCCTATAACATTATAATAATAATAATAATAATAATAATAATAATAATAATAATAATAATAATAATAATAATAATAATAATAATAATAATAATAATAATAATAATAATAATAATAATAATAATAATAATAATAATAATAATAATAATAATAATAATAATAATAATAATAATAATAATAATAATAATAATAATAATAATAATAATAATAATAATAATAATAATAATAATAATAATAATAATAATAATAATAATAATAATAATAATAATAATAATAATAATAATAATAATAATAATAATAATAATAATAATAATAATAATAATAATAATAATAATAATAATAATAATAATAATAATAATAATAATAATAATAATAATAATAATAATAATAATAATAATAATAATAATAATAATAATAATAATAATAATAATAATAATAATAATAATAATAATAATAATAATAATAATAATAATAATAATAATAATAATAATAATAATAATAATAATAATAATAATAATAATAATAATAATAATAATAATAATAATAATAATAATAATAATGATTATTATTATTACATTCCTCATTGTTAAGGAGAAATCTGCACCATTTCTTCCTTATTAGGTACTTCAAGATGCTTAAAAATTATTCATAAATTAGTATTCATAAATAAAAAAATACATATATGTATTGCGTAAACAGATTAAATTGATTTCCTAAATTCCATTTAAGGCTTGCAAAATGAACATTGGAAATTCTAGTCTACTTTTAATAATTTCAAAAATGTTGAAGAGGAAACTTAACTCTTTAAATCCAAACTCTTTTACTAAGGCATAAAAGAAAGCCTTTTTATTAAAGATTAATTAGTTCTTCAGTATAAGATTATTTAATCTTTTTAAACAAATTAAAAATTTTAAACGATTGTCTTTTTCTGTTGGTGATAGATCTTTATGAAATTTCTACTATTAATGAAATTTAGAATCTAGTTAAAACTTTTTTGAGTTATGAATTAGGCATTCTTTGTTATTACCCACTCCTTATTTAATGATAATGTGGATTTTTTATCTATTTTTTTAACAGATTATTATAGTTACTGCTTTTGAATATAGTATTTATAAAATAAACAGCGCGCATCATTTAGAATTCTAGCCACTTTATATAGATTATTTGAATTTTTCTGATAGATTTTAGTATGAATTATCCGAATTTTCACAATTTTACTCTTCATTATCTTGTCTGATGTTAAAGAGCAACCCTTTTGTCAAATTTAACCAGTGAAATTTTATAAAATAAAAACTTTTACCTATTTTTTACATAATTCTCATCATAATAATTTTTTTAAGTTATTTACTTAATTTAATTAGTACTGCTTTTAGAATTATGATATAATTTGTTGAACTTGGCAAATTTACCAGGTATTCTTAGGCTAAAATTCTTAATTAGTATTCGAACTTATATACCTCTTGTCTCAATTCAAAATTATATATTCTTTAAATAATTAGACAACTTTAAGTTTGTTTTCGTTAAAAAGTTAGATTAATCAATTATAACCTTACAAAAAGATTTATACTTATAATAATTAGACAACAGCCAACAGTTAATCTAATCATTTATATATATATATGTAATAATGTTTAAGATTTCATAGGATTGGCAGAAATTAACTTAAAAAATAGAATGAATAAAGAATTTCATTTTTTTTTGTAATTTTAATAATATTAGCATTTTTGTTTTATTATGAAAAGAAAATTAGAGAACCTGATAAAACATTGCTTTAAGTGTTAAATAAATATTGAATAATATTGTTATTTGAAGAATTATTTGGTTATACATTAAGATTTGATTATTCTAATAATTATTGAAAGATTAGAATTTTACAGAGAGTTTAATTAATCTACAATAAAATAATTACAATAAATCACTTTGAACGATATTCTATTAAATTTTCTTATAATTATATTAAATATTTATATGCAGAAACCAAAAAATTTAAATAAATCAATAACAGAACCACCAATTAATGAGATTGCTCTCCATCACCTTTAATAAAGTGAAGTAACACAATTAATAACTTTTATATCCAGAAGTTCATATTGGATAATTAAATTGATCATGCATAGGAGGAAATTAATAAAGCTTTAAAAATTGATCCAAAATATGCAGAAGCTTATTAACTAAGAGGTAATGGCTTGGTATTAATATTCATAGGATTAATACATTTTAAAAAAGAGGAAAAACTTAAGGCATTAGATGATCTGAATTAAGCCGTATACCATAATCCAAATTTAGTGAGTAGTTTTTACCATAGAGGTATCTCTATAAATTGATATAGCAACAATTTATTAAAAAAATAAAATGCTAGACAATGCGTTAGAAGATTGCAATCAGGCAATAAAAATTAAACCTGATTATGCATTAGCTTATAGCAAAAAAGGTTATTATTATTACTTAATCATCAAGGTTCATTGATGAGAATCAAAGGATAACTTGATGATGCTATAGATTTATATTCAAAAGCTATAAGCCTTGATAAAAATTGCATCAATGCACTTTTAAATAGAGGTATTTTGATAATATTAAAAGAAGCTCTTGTATTTAAAGAAATTCATTAATATGAAAAAGCGCTTAAAGATTATAATTAGGCAATTTAAATCAATAAAAATAATCCTAAAGCATATTTTAATCGAGGTTTATTAAAGAATTTATAAAAAGGAATTTTACTAAAGGATATTGGTGAATAGCAATAGGCTCTTTAAGATTATGATAGGGCAATCTAATTAAATCCAAATAATGCAACTGCTTTTTTGAATAGAGGTAAATTACCTAATAATAGGAAGGTGTGTTATTAATCAATATGAATCAATAAGAAAGAGCTTTATAAGATTATGATAAGGCTATTGAAATCAATTCTGATTATTCTAATGCTTATTTGAATAGAGGTTTAAGATATTTAATTAATAGCTCTTCTTCTTTGTGATATGGGTCAGATTGATAGAGCAATATAAGATTGCAATTAGATGATAAGGATTAATAAAAATGATGGCAATGCTTATTTTAACCGTGGTATTCAAAATTTTGAAATAAGGGTTTTTATTTGATCAGATAGATTAGAGATAATAAGCACTTAATGATTATAATAAAGCAATCGAAATAAATTCAATGGATTCTAGGGCTCTAATAAATAGAGGTGAAAATTTGATCAAATGTTAGGTTTATTATTTTGGAGAATGTAAGAAAAAGAAAAAGCGAAAAAAGACTGTAATTCTGCTTTAGAAATATGTCCAAGTAACCCTCTTTATCTCACAATAATTGGAGATTTGCATTATCAAGATTTTTAATATGAAAAAGTGCATTATTATTTCACTCAAGCTTTAAAAAATATTGAAGGAATGTAACTAGGAGATCAAGTTAAATGGAATTTATCAGATAGAAACATATGTTTCATAAAATTAAAACTATAAATTCTATAAGAAATAGAGTGTGATATCATAAATGCAAAAAAGCAAATATCTCTTCTGCCTAAGTTATCTGCAAAAGATCAAAATCAAGTGAATGAATATTTCGAGAGAGTTGAGAGAATAGAAAGATCAGTTTCCGTTATAGTTTTGCCAAGCAATGAAACATAGAAACCAGAAATGCAATAAAATATGATCAAACAATTCTAAGAGATGTAATAATAACTAAAAGAATTATAAAAATAGTTGTAAAAATAAAATGAAGTGATTAACAAGATATAGAATTTAGATAATTTCTAGATAGAATTTATGATGGAGGAGTTGAAAAAACCTTAAAATAAGCATTAATTCATATATTATAAATCATTATTTTGGAGATTATACTTCTATATGCATGCTATGTAGGAACTTTCAACGAATTTATTTTAAGTTAATAAAGATGCCTTTGTTGAAAGTACTTCAGAAAAGGTCTTAAGTTTAATCTAAAAAGCTTTCAAAGCTGGATCCAAAACCTTAGAGCAATTACCAATTATTGGAGAAGCATTTAATATTATTAATTCTGCATTAGATTATGGAGTAGAATATCAAAAGGAAGTTAAGTTTAAAAGAAGGATAATTCGATTGACTAATATTATGAAAATATTTGCTGTAACACCTACTGAATTAGAGAAGGAAGTATAATTTGCAGCAATCGAATTAAGTAAATTTTAGGAGCCTGGATTAAAGGAAATACCAATATCCAAATTCACATAATTTGTGGAAAAATTATCTTTATTAGAAAATTCTTCAGAACAATTTAGCAGTGATCCTTATTGGAAGATAGGAACAGCAGATTCTTTAATAATTTTAAAATATTTAGAGGAAAATAATGATATGATTATAATTGAAGATTAGCATAAAAAACTAAGGCAAATATTTATTGATGCCATACTGAAAAATAAAATTTAAATTTCAAATAAAATGAATAAATCTTAAAATAAGACTTCTAAGAACAAGGAAGATAATGATAAATGCAACATATAATGATTTATGATAAAATTAATGTAAATATTGTTATTCTAATACTTGATGTGAATAATTTATAAATATTATTTTGAAAATTTAATTATTATGGATTATTCAAATATGTTATAAGTTAATTAATAACTTCAAAATCAAAATAAAATTAACATTTTTTCAACAAATTTAAAAGTGGTTTGAAAGAGAACAAAAATACAGGTTCATTTTTATTATTTTTAAATAGAAGTGTAGAAAGTATGGAATATACACCTCTAACTATCTTTAAATCCTTATTGAATTTGCAAATGCATTAATTTTTTTTAAGACAATATTATTGTTAACTTTTCACAATATACATTGATCATTTTTCTAGTGATCATGAAAAAGTAAACATAATTGATTTTACTAAAAAGGATGATTTCTGTAATTTTTCTAAGAATACTAGCTTTTAGTAAACACAAAATGATAATATTTGCTAAATTAATATAAATTAATGTTTTTTGGTATTTGTTTAAATATCACCAAGTAGTTTAGAGGTAAAATGCTGCCTTCTGACTGCAGAGATCCAAGTTCAAGTCTATGGGTTGGTGAAATTTTTATTCAATGATTAATATTTTTCATTTAATTTCCTATTTAAATCAATATGGAGGTTTAATATAATAGCGTAACAGAATTTAAGGAGTGACAATTTCAATCTAAAATATTTTTTTTAAACCACATCTATTTTATTTTTAATCAAAAGCATATATTATTTAGTATATACTTTTGTTAATTCCAACTATTACAATATCAACTAATGTTTAATTTATTTTTTGGTCTGGATTACATTTTTCAAAACATAATTTGAAACTAATATAATTTCATTTTAACTTCGATTATGATAAATTTTTTCCCTATTTTGAATTGTTTCTAATATGTAGCCTTATACTTTAAATACTTTTATCTTTCAGTTCTAAATAAGGTGCAACTTTATTTAAACAGATAACATTAAATTATTTTTTTTAATTTTAAAAGTGACTCCATAAATTTTTCATCATGATTTTCTCCAGAGTTTTATTCAATAAAAATTTTAATTGTATTTTTTTATATATAAAATTATTATCATAACATTTGACTTTATCTAACTTGATTTTCAAACCAATATAGAAATCTTAAAAATTTGAAAAATAGGATATTGACTTCCTATATCAAATTACAGTTTGAATGAGGATTTGTGCAGTTATTAACAATTAAACTATAATACCTTTTTAATATAAAGTTTATAAATAAAGTATTCATTATCGATATGAGATTATTAAAGCTTCGTTTTATATATTATTTTCTTAAAAAGTATTATTATTACTTAACTTACTTTTTTGATTTATTCAGTATGTCAGTAATTATTCATTAAAAACACTAGATGTTCTTTTCATTGGCTAAAAATTTCATTCTAATACAAAGTGATGACTCTAAATTTCACACCTCTATCTATCTTGCCCATATAGCAATTTGTTAAAATTATCTTCCATATGTATACTATAAAATCAATATTTTATATTTATTTTAGTTAATTATATATCATTTTTAATATAGTAAGATAAATTTGTAATTGAATGATGAGAAAAACACAATGCTATAAGAAATAGTTTTCTGGTATTTAACCATTCAATTTATAAAAATATCATTTAAATTCAATTTTAAATTCAAATGGTAAAATGTATGCTCCCACAAATTTATTTAGGCTTAAATTTAAATATTAATTGATCAAACAATCCTAAATGGATAATCGTGAATTTTTTAATTAATCATTAACAACTGGAGTTACTGACTTTGTAAGTATTCTTTTTCAAGTTTTATAACAACTTCATAGATATAAACTAATACTATTAAATCTCCATCCTATTTATACTTTTAATATTTTAGCCTCTAATTTTATTTAAAGTAATTGTAATCTGGTTAAAAATATTATCAATCAATCTTATTTTAGCAAATTAAAATTGTAAAAATTGTAAAATAGAATTTTTATTAGAAATATTAATATAAATAACATTTGGTAATTATAAATAAACATAAGAATGATGAAATTCAATTATACGCAGATTAATGATATCTCCATTCTCTTTTAAAAATATTGATACTAAATAATTTTTATTTTCTTTTCGAAAATTCATTTACTTTGAATAAATTATAAAGGAGAAAAATATACAAAAGTTGTTATCTCTCATTCTAAATATAGATATTTTGGAAAAGTTAAATTTTCTTTTTTAGTTTCTAGGATAAATTTAAAGGGTGTATAAAAGCACAAATGCTAAAATGTAGATTTGTTATAAACATAAAAAAGAATTTTACTAAGCTGGATTATTTTCATTCCACAATTTTTAAATAATTGGATATCTATCAATTTTCCTTCTATTAAATAAATAAAATTTGTTAATATGTGATAATCTATGATGTATTTTCTAAAATTTATTTTTAAAGATTATGCTAGAATTTCTAAAGCAAAGTTATAGGTTTCATAAATTATTCTTTCTTCAAATAATTATCCTTATTTTGAGAATTGAGCTATACAATCAGGTTTTCTCTCAAGAATAATCATTTGCTTTTTGTTTGTGAATCGGGAACCATGATAATTATAAGAAGTAATCTTCAAAAATTAAAATGGGAGCAAAATCTTTGTTTCTAAACTTTTTCTCAAAATATAGATAAATGATTGCTACCTAAATTCACAAAAACACAAAATAATTCAATTTTTCCAGAAAGATCCATGAGGAGTTTCCAAGAAATAAGGAATGAGATACTCGCAATTAAAAAATTTCGTAAAAATTATAAAATAATAATAAAATTTATTTTTTGGTTTTTTGTTTAAATTTGATCTGCTTTCAGATAATCATGAAATAATAATAATTATGATTAAATATTTATTATAAATTAAATAATTAAATTGGCTAAATTTTAACTAATTAACTAGTTAAAAAATTTAAATAACTCTTGTATGATGTATTTTTAAATGTAGATTATTTAAAAAATTGTGATAGAGTTTGAGTTTATTTGCAAAGTGAAATTAATAACTTTATAAGAATGATTTTTAAACTAGTTTAATTTTTTTTTGCAAATATTTCTTTTTTTAAATATCTCTAAAATCGTATATAATTTATTTTATTTTAATCTCAATCTTATTATTCTTTAATTTAGATAAAAAATATATAATTATTAAATACTGAATAGATTAATTGGATTTAAGACTTTATTGATGTAATTATTTGCATAATAACATTATCAAGTTTTAGACTATTATGTATTTCCTAATATGATAGATAATATGTATATATTGTATAAGATTTCGAAGATTAATTTAAGGTATATTTGAAATTAATACAAAACTTATTAATTTAAAACATTTGGAGATATTTACTTAAAAATAATAAATTGATTTAAGAATTATTATTTTATACTTTATCTAATTTTAAAATATTGATCTTTAGAATCACTAGTTCTTAAACATAAAATTTTGAAAAATTACTTGAAAAATATAGTTATATTATTTGAATCCATAACATGATTATTAAATTAATTATTATATATTCTACACAATATTTTAGGAAATAATTCATAACTGATTATAAATGTATCAAAATATTATAAGTAGACTTATCAATCTTCTTTTTTATTTTTAAATATAATCGTTTAGGTTTGGCATTGAAATTGAAGACGTTTTATTAAGATATTGAGAATCAATTAATTTATTTATTTTATACCTAGAACTTGATGATTCAATTTTTACAGTTTAAATTTCCAATACTGAATAAAGTGTTAACTATAGAATTTTATCATATTAATTTCTAATAACAACTAAAACATTTTCTCTTGTAATTAAATTTAATTAAGATGAATTTTATTTAGTTGTATAATCTCTATAAGGTAAACTTTATTGAAAAATTGTACTCTGATTACTTTACAAAATAAATTCCATTCTCAACAGATATGGTTTTGTTGTCATCTTAGAATTGATAAATTTCATTCTTAATTTTTTATTATTGTAAGATTATAGCCCACCCTTTCCCAAAACTTCAAATGAATACGAATAGAGCTCTCTTATCTTCCATCATATTATGATAATACATTTTATACCCCTTAAAAATTCTGTATCAGTTATTAATCGATATATACATATCAAAATTACTTTCTACCCGATTTTCTTGAATCTCTGGGCTCATACACTTAAAACCTAATTATCAACAACAGACAATTATGGAGATGCCTTTAGGAATTTATAAGCCTCTTTTATTCTTAGATTATAATTATAACATTCTTGACCCATAAGTAATTAGTGTTTGAAGCATTTGAATATACACTGATTATAAGCCTTTGGACCCAGAATCACATCAACAAAAACTATTACGGTAAACCACAACTAATAGTATTACATTGTAAGTCCACAAAGGGAAATTTTTTTATTATTTCAAATTATTATATATTAATCTTAAGAAGTTTACATTTGATTCAAATTATCATTCAAGCAATCATTGGAGCTGACCTGAAAAGACTCTTGATGATTATTCTAAAAGATAAAAATAATAATGATGTCAATTAAATTACTTAAATAATTTTGATTTAAATTTAAAAATCAAATGTTGCTTATTTATTAAATTGAAAAAAATTAATCTTTAGATTAATTTAAATCTCCCATCATTAAGAATTCTTATATAAATATTTTTAATGAAAAATTTAATTGTCATTTGCTTTTTAACCATGGTCTTAACACAACAAGTTAAACACACAAATCAATGTAATGATTGTGGATAATTAAAATCACAGAATGATTGTGAATAAGAGACTACTGTAACAGGAGCTTGCGAATGGGTGGCGGCGTCAGGAACAACTCCAGGAAAATGTTAGAAAAAAACAACTGTTGATCCAGTCACTTCATTCAAACCTTATTGTGAACTTATTGATAAACCAGAAACAGACTGTGCTAAAACATTTGGTTGTTCTTATATTGATATGAAATGTACACATTTTACAGGATGTCAAGCATATATTAAAACAACAACTACAGATTGCTAGGCAATATAGTATTTATGTGTTAGTGATGGAAATACTTGTATTCAAGCTAAAGAATGCAAAGAATATACATAATAATAATGCGAATCAACTCCTAGTGTCTCAGGAATACTTAAATGTAAATGGGATACAAATTCTGGAGCTTGTAGAGATTATGCATGTTCAGAGGCAGATGATAGCTTAAATACTGATGAAAAATGTTCAGCTTGGTTAGCTGGTTGTGTGACAAAAGGTTAAGGTTGTGTTAATACACCAAGACCTGCATGTGCTACTTATACAGGAGATGATGTTGCATGTTAATCATTTATTGGATCCGATGGAAATTGTGAATTAGCTACTGGTACTACAAATTGTAAGGCCAAGGAATGTGTTAATGCTCCAACATCATTAAGTTCTGATGATGATTGTAAAGCCTATTAAAAAGGATGTATAACAACAGGAAAAGGTTGTGTTTTAGCAACAACAAAACCATTATGTTCTACATATTCAGGGAATAATACAACTTGTCTTGGATATATTGGATCAGATGATGTTTGTGAAGGTGATGCTGGTGGTTCTAAATGTAGAGCCAGAAAATGTGAAAATGGAGCATTCAATACAGATGAACTTTTTTAATAATATTAAAGTACTTGTAGGACAAATGGCAAGAATTGTGTTTCAGCATTTACAGCTTGTAATACATATAAAGGTACTGCCACCACTTGTGCTGTATATATTGGTACTGATGGATATTGCAAAGGAACAAGCACAACAACTGAAGCTTCTTGCTTCCAAAGGTTTACGATGAAGCTCCAGATACAACAACTACTGATGATGCTTGTAATAAATATTAAATTGGATGTGTTACTACAGGAAAAGGATGTGTTACAAAAACTAATTTGAAATCTTGTACTACTTATGATGGTGATGCTACTAGTTGTTAATCGAGAGTTGGATCTGAAGGTAAATGTACATGGAAGACTGGAACCAAATGTGTTGCTAGAGATTGTACTTAAGCAGCAACCAATTTAAATACTAATCCTCTTTGTGCCAATTTTTTCACTAATTGTGTTAATACTGGATCTGGATGTGTTTCATAAACTACTTGTGACTTGACTGTCAAATAATAAAGTTGTGAAGGTACTAATAATTGTTCATGGTAACCTCTTTGTAGTAGTAATTCAAACTGTAGTGAATTTAAGAAAAAATCAATATGTTTAGCAAATTAAGCTAGAGTAAGGACTTTTGATAAAAATGATCAAAATGGAAATCCATTATATATTTTTGTATTATAAAATTATAAAATTCCTTATTATATCCAAAAAATGTGGTTGGTTGAACAATTCTTGTAAAGAATTGTCTTGCTCAGATTTAACAGGAGCTTATTATAATAATGATTCTAATTGTGCAGCAGAATTATCAATATGCATTAGTAATAGAATTGATACTTGTATAACTAAATATGAATGTAGTAAACTTTCAGGAACATAATCCACTTGTTTAAGTTATCCAGGTTATTGTACTAATTCATTAACAGCTACTGATACTACTCCTTGTATATAAAGAAAGTGTTCAGATAATACAGAAGCAACTGATAATGCTACATGTGCTTCATTCTTACCTGGATGTATTAGTAATGGAAAAGGTTGTGTTGATTACACTACTCCATGTACATCGATGAAAGGAACTTAAGAAACATGTAATAAAATATTTGCTTATAAGACTGGATCTATTGATAACTTTACAACTAATTAATGTTATAACAGTTCAACAGCCACTGAAAATGATTATTGTAAAATCAAAACATGCAAATTAGCAGAAAATTAAAATGATGGTACATGTGGTTCATTTTTAGAAGGATGCGTTTATAATGGAAATGGAGGATGTGTTGATCCAAAAGCTATTGACACAACTTGTGCAAGTTATACAGGTGTTTTAGCATTTTGTGAATCTGCTATTGTTGGAAGTAATAGTTCTAAATATTGTTTTGGAACATCTACAGCAGCTACATGCACTGTTAGAGCTTGTACAGATAATATAACTGCAACAAAAGATGAAGATTGTGAGTCTTTCATGTCAGGATGTATTGCTAAATCTGATGGAGGTTGTATTAGTAGATAATCGAGATCATGTTCTTAATAATCAGGAACTGTTATTACTTGTCCTAATTTCAGTGGTGGCTTATAAGTCTCTTCAGTTTGGACGAGAATTGCATGCACAAAATATGATACTTGTTAAGATAGATTATGCTCTGACAAAAAAAGCCCTTAATAAGCCTAGGATTGTCTTGATTACAAATCAACTTGTAGATTCTTTAAGGTTGGATCTGCTTGCATTGATGTAACAGCTTGTAGTAGTTATAGTCTACCTGATACAGCAACTAATAATTAATAAAAGTTTGATTATTGTACAAGTATCAAAGATAACGTTGGGTTTTTATGTGGTTATACATAAGGAGCAACGAAGTGTTCAGCTAGAACTTGTGATTAATTCTTGAGCACTTATACAACATTATCATGCATTACTTATTTATAGAAGAACATTTCCACTTTAACTGAAGGTACATGTAAATTAGCAGGAAAAATTTGTTATTTAGTAAATCCAGATTGTGAATACAGTTATGCTTCCACTGATAATAATGATTCTCTTAAATTAACTTAATGTAGAAAGTTTGTGAATGTTTAAGGACATCAATGTACATTTAAAACAGGCGATACTAAATGTAGTTTATAAGATACATGTGAAAAATTAAATGATTAAACAGATGCAAGAACCTGTAATACTTAAAACAATTTTTAAGCTTTTGGAGAATGTTAGAAAGTCACTAATTCAAATTGTCTATCATTATCTAAGGATTGTTCTTCCTATAAATTTGATTCTACATTAACTACTATTTAAAAATAATAATTATGTTGGGGATTGTGGATTATTGTTGATCGAGAAAGATTAGCAACACCATTAGCAGAATATAAGAAATGTGTGTTTAAAGCAGGTAGTTCATGTGATGCTATTACTAATTGCTTAGATATTTATTCTGCTTCAAGTTAAAGAGAATGTTAAGGACTTTAACCAGGATGCTTATATTTTGGTGGTAAGTGTAATGCTGCTGTTTCTTCTGGCAATTGTCCCTCAACATTTCCAACTGGAATAACAACAGATTCTTAAAAATCTCTATATTGTAGAAGTATCAAAGAAGCCAGTGATTATTGTAGAATAAAATCTGATAAAAGCTAATGCGAACTAGCAAATAATGCAAATTGTGCTGGTATTACAATTCCTACTTCAGGTAGTTGGGATTCAATTAGTGATCCAACTTCAAATGCATTCAAATCTTCTTATTGTCTAGCTCAATCATATTAAGATAGAAGTAAATTATGTAAATATACTTCTGGAAGTAACTGTAGTGATGCAACATGTGCAGATATTTCATCACCTACTGGTTAAGGAGATTGTGATAATTACATATCTGGATGTATTTATTTTAATAATAAATGTTATGCACCAGGAAGTGTTGAAAGCGATGGTGATTGTGCTGATAATAATAAAGTACCTATGGATTCAGGATTAACAGCAACATAAAAATTAGCATATTGTTAATTATATGCAAAATCTTATAGATCAATATTTTGTACATTTGATTAATTTAATCCTACTCCTCAAACCCAATGTGTTGTTGGTAGTAATTGTAATGCCTATACAGAATTGCCAAATACTAATGATGCTGATGAATCAATATATTGTTTAAATAAAGTTAATAAAATTGGTAGGAGTTGTGCATTCACAGTAGGTGATACTACATGTAGAGAGTTTGATTGCTAGGATATAAAGAATCCAATTTCTTAAATAGATTGTGACTTAGGTTCATAAGGAGGCTTATGTGCTTATTAATAAGGTGTGTGTTATAATTGGAATGAAGATTGTTAAAATATCCCTGCTTTAAGTGGAAATGAATAGATTTATTGTGAATCATTATTAACAAAATTTTAGTGTACTTATATATCAGGAACAAAATGCACAGATTTTAAAGAGTGTCATCTTTATAGTGTAACAGAAAATTAAGCCTCTATTTGTGCAAAATTGACAGATGGAACAGATAAATGTACTTACATTTCTGGTAATAATTGTGTCTTATTGGGTTCATGTGAAAGTTATGATGGAACAGGTACAGCAGAAAAGGGACCTGCAGAAGGTTCAGAAGAGATAGAATGTAAAGCAGTTAAATCGTATCTTTTAATATTTAAATATTGATTAGCAAATCAGCACCTTTTTCTTTGTTTCTTTCTTCTATACACCCTATAATCAAATACCCTTGAATTGATGTTTTATTAAACAGATGAAAATTTGTACTTAATTCTCGGATACTCTTATCAGATCCATAATATATTCATTAATTTTTCTGACTCTATGAGTCTAAAATTGTCTCGATCCATTTGACTTTATTTAAAAGTATTTTCAATAAGGAATCTTCTTGATTTTCAAAGTATTAAATTAGATTGAATCTTAAATTTTCGAAACAATATCATCTCTATTGTAGACTCTTTGAATTAAAAAAAAATCATTAAAAAGTTCTTTTTAGGACATCATTAATGAAGTATTAAAAAAAGTAAAAATTTTCTAGAAAAATGCCTAGAGATTAATCTACGGGTGGATGAATCAGCAAGAGATTTTGAGTGTTCGAATTTTTTATCGTCATTGATATGACGCTGGTTTTTTTAATATACTTTCTAAATAAATTTTTTTTTTTTATTTTGAATACTTTAAAAATATATTTAATTTCCCTTTTAATCGAAATCCAATATCATAATATTTAAAAATTTTCTAATTTCAATTCATTTCTTTAAAACAATTTATATATTGAAATTATTAAAAAATTTACAATTTTCTGATCTATGATCTCAATTTATTAATTTTAGCAATGTGGAACGTTAATTATATATAGGTTTCACAAATAAATTTAAGAATTAGCCTCTCTAACCATCTTGGGATTAAAATTAAAATTAGAATCTAGAAACTATTTCGGCTAAAGGCAAGAATATTAATAACTCCAATTAAATTAATTGAATTCGCTTATGATAAATGAATAATATAATATCATGTTTTTAAAAACTACCTGAGTAATATCTCATCTATTATATATCTATATATACTTCTAAATTAAATTAATTTTTATGATAATCTTAAAATTATTTAAAATCAATATTAAACTGTTTATAATAAGCTTATTCATAAATAAAATCAATAATAAATTGATATATTTTTGATTTAATATAATCCTTTCTTATATTGTATTTCTAATAAAATTTCATAAATTGAGATGATCTTTTTGATTAAAGTTTTTATTATAACGAATACATTGAAATTTTGTAATAAAATATTATATCAATGTTACTTACTAATTATATTCATATATGATTATATATTAGAACAGTTGTATAATTCAAAATCTACTCAATACCAAATGGACTCTCCTTTATAATAATTTTTTATTAGTCCATTATCTTCTAAAATAAATGAAGACAGACCACAATGACCAACTTAATAAGGACTCTTAACATTTTGAATTTTTAAAGTTAATGAAACTACTCCTTGATGTGTAACACAAATATAAATTGTATTATTTTTATTTTGAAGTGACTTCATATGTGTTAATAACTCTGAAAGAAACTTACCCACTCTAAGTTGACACTAGTCTTACTCTTCAGGATAGATTGGTTAAATAAGTTTAGTCTTTATAAACTTTTCTCTTGTAATTAAAATTCCATCAATATAATCATTTTTTAAAATGGGGTGTTACAAAGTATTGATATGTAATTACATTAATATATTTTATTTAAAGGAATGAGAATACATTAATTCTCCAATTTCATCTTAAATATATAAATTTGAATTGTTTGGAATCTCTTTCATCAAAATTGCTGCAGTTTAAATACATCTTAAAAATGGAGATGATATAAAATTCTATATTCTTAAAGAGATATTATTTACAATTGATAAATCTTCAATTGCAATTTATTTTTATTTTGTAAATTCTTCTAGTTCTTTTCTTAATCGTTATCCTGTTATTCTAGCTTAATACTCTCCTTTTTCTGTAAGTGGAGGATCAAATTTTAATAAAACCTTTTTCCTTTCATCTGGATTATCAACCATATCTGCTCTTTCTCCATGTCTAATAAATAAAAGCATAATATATAAGTTTTATAATTAAATTTATTAACTTAATTTGAATAACAACATAAAATAAATAAGAATAATATTATTAAAATCTTCTCATCAAACTCTTATTAAAAGAAATTAAGCTTTTAAGAATAAAATATTAAATGAATACCTTAACTTAATATTTTAGTCCTTTTTATAATACTTTCAATCACTAATTTCTCATTTGATTTATGAAAGGATTAAAACGTTTTTAATTTTTGAAAACTTAATTCAATCTTTAGGTATTATATCTCTAAACTTCTTTGAAGAAGATATATTTTATTGTAACACTTAAATTACAAATGATTTATTTTATATTCCTAATTAATATTTATTAAAGACACAGAATGGAGATTTTAAAAGGCTTTTTTTAATAAAATTCAAGGAATTAATAAAGGAGTGAAAAAAAATCATTCTCATTAATTAAAGATAATTACAATTCAATGTGAATTAATTGACTTCGACACTTTTTTGCTTGAAATAAATTCTAAATGAAATAACCAATAATAACTTAAACTATCCTGTATGCGATTTAATTTTGCCAATAATAAAATCCAGCCTATAAGTGTAAAATATAATTAATGTATTTAATTTTAATTCTTATAATTTTGTCTCTCACATTAAACCATTTAATTTTTATTTCCTAAACGTAATTCTAAATTAAACAGCTATTTTTTAGAATTTAAAATAATTTATAGATCTTATCGAACTTATGATTAAATATTTCATACTACCACTTAATTGCCACCTAAAAGATTACTTTCTAATAAATCTGATTATTCATTATCCATATGAATTTATTCAAATATACTAACTATTTATTTTTCATAATTATTTATATTTTCATTAGCAACCTTAAATTTAAAGAAATTAATTTATGAAAATAAATCTTGGAAATTTAGTTAATTTTATTTATATCAGAGAAAATAAATTCTATGATATTACTTTTATGAGTTGAATAGTTCATAACAGAAAATAAAAATTCACCTCCATCATGTTAAGTTTAATCTTAAAGAAGCAACATAAATTGCTTTTTTAATTTTTATATTCTATATCTCTTTTACTACAATAATTGATGGAAGCAAAAAAATTCTTCCAAATTTTGAATTAGACTTAATTAAATCGTTTCAACAATTATAATAATTATTCCTTACTGTTTTTTAGCTACAATCGAAACATTAATCCAGAAATCTATAATTTTTTATTAATAATGGAACTAAATGCCATGTTATTTAATAATAGAATAGGATATAACAATTGTATTTTTTATAAAATCATGTTTTAGAATCATTATAACAATAAACAATAAACTATTTAAATAAATCTAATAATTAAATTGAAAAAATATTGTTAATTCCAATAATTAAAATAATATTTTAATTTTTAGACATTCCAAATTGCTGATTATCAAAAAAAATGAATTTATTCAATCAAATTACTAATATTAGATAGATATATTTCTTTTTTATCATATAAATAATTTAAAGTATAATGCTATAATAAAGAGAGTTTATTTATATATTTATAGATCAATAGTAAAGAATATTGATAATAACGAATTTAATTATCAATCTATATTCTTCCTTTTTATCTGTTTAAATAATATAATTCATTATTGTATTATTATATTTTTTAATAATGATATTACTCATTTTTTTTGTGTATTCAACTCATCAAACTCTTATTTATTAGTTTGATGCAATTTCTAACATAAGAGATGGTAATTTCTTATTATTATATTTTAGGATGGCAAGATTTAATTAATAATGTCCAATTTTATAATTTTGGAGGGATTCAATATTTTGGGAAACCTAGTAGTAGTCCAATTTACATTAGCAGAATATTTATTGATCTAGAATCTCATTCTCATATATATATGAATGCAGAATTTCTTACGTAATGATATTCTTTATGATAAAAGTATTGATTAAAATAATTCACCTTATTTTGAAATAGATAGATATACAATAAATTAATAGACAATGATATCATCTTAACTTTTTGATAATACACAACCAGGATATTTACATACTATTTCTATAACTCTATAGCATCATAGAAGAACTGTTGGGATCTATATTTCTACCTATATTGGAGGAGGATTGAGATCATTAAGACTAAATATCATTAAATGTAAGTTTGAATAAGCTGGATGCATAGAGTATTATCGTACAATCTACTTATAATGGAAACTGCATTAATATTAATTTAATAAAAAATTGATCACAAACTCTGATGGATGGACTTTTGTATCTGAACATAATTATCCAACTTATTTCTAATGTGGAAATTGCCAATTTTTGAGATTTAAAGAAATTAAATATTCTACTCAATTACCTCCTCATTAAGATGTAGTAATACGATTTTTTAAATATTTTAATGCTATAATAATAGTAGATTATTTATATGGTAAAAAAACAATTAGTTCTGGTTATTAATTAATAGAAATATTAATAAGAAATCATGATGATCCTATATTATTATTAAATATTAAAACCTAAATGGCTGAGGAAGATTGTTATATAAGAGATTTTGAAGTATTTTACACTTAACCAGAAATAATGTTTTATAAATTGAATGAAGGTTGTTTAGAGTAAATTTATGGTCAATGTCTAATTTGCAAAGAAGGTTGGATTTAAGATGAATTGCTTGAAAATTGTCATCCAATTTGTGGTGATGGGCTCATTCAAGGTTAAGAAGAATGTGATGATGGTAATCTAATATCAAAAGAATCTTGTACTTTATGCAAATATTCATGTATACAATTTTGTTCAATATGTTAATTTGGAATTTGTCTACAATGTTAAGATGGATTTTTCATTAATGATAATTTTAATTGTGATCCTTTATGTGGAGATGGTAATTTAATTCCTTATTCAACTGAATAATGTGAACTGACCGTTAATGGGGAATCGGATAATTGTTAGGAATGCAGATTTATATCAATTGCAAATTGTAAAACAGACTATCTTTCAATTTGCTTAGAGTGTGAAGTGGGATATTAAAAATTGGGAAACATATGTTTCCCTTATTGTGGAGATAAATTGATTCTGGAATAATATGAGGATTGTGATGATGGTAATTTGTAACCTTATGATGGTTGTTTTGAATGTAAGTTTCAATGCATTGAAGATTGCAACATTTGTGAAAGAGGATAGTGCATTTTGAGATGTGAAATAGGATATGAATTTGCTAATAATGGTTGTCTTTCTGTTTGTGGTGATCAAATAATCACAAAAGAAGAGGATTGTGATGATGGCAATACAATCATATTTGATGGTTGTTTTAATTGCAGGTATTCTTGTCCAGAAAATTGCTTTGATTGCTATTAAGGTACTTGTTTAAAATGCAATTATCAATATTTATTACTAATTTCAAATCAATGCAAATAATAATTAGATTGTGGAGATGGATTGCTTTAGGAATAAGAGGATTGTGATGATGGAAATTTTTTAGCAACGGATGGATGCAAGGATTGTTTAATTGAATAAAATTGGGTATGCATGACAATAACAACAGATTCTCTAAGCTAATGCTCATTTATCAAAGCTCCAAATTTATTAATTAATTATCTGAATATTACTTAAAATAAATAGTATATAAGTATCTAATTTAATTAAAAAGTAAAAATTTAAACAGCTTAACCATTATCAGAAACTATAAATTTTGAAATATCAAATATAGAAAAGAAGAACTGGAATAGTCACTTATATATTATATAGGATGTTGGATCAGATGTAAGTTTTGGAGAATTTATTGTCTAAATAGAAATATAATAATTACTTGAATTTAGGCCAGTCTTGAAAATTAAAGTAAATTAGACTGTTGTTAATATAGATGATGCTGTTTTGAATGATGTTGAAAAATCAATAACTTTGCAATATCCAAAATTTCTTAATGGAAAACAGAAGTTCTATTCAGAAAATTTAAAAAGTCTTAATAAATGTATAATTTACAGTTTATTTGGAATTACAGGTTTAAGTTTACTATTAGGAAGCGGGGAGTTATTTGCTGAAATTATGGCGATTCTTTAATTCTAGCAATACTTAAGATACATTAATCTGTAATATCCAGAAAATATAGAGATATATTTTTCTGTTAATGATATGATAACTCTTCAACCTCTCCTGGATTTTATCTATTTTCCTCAACTTTTACAGTTTATTGATATTTAATAAAATTAAGAATATTGTGATGGGAAATTTAATGTGTATAAATAAAGTTCTAGCTTGATAATTAATCTTTCATGCCAAATATTTTAATTGTTGATATTTTTATTCTATATTTTTTTATTTTAATGGATTAAAAAGGTTTTGTACAAATGGATATATTGTTCAAGGTGCTTTTACTATATGTCATCATTATCATTATATATAAATCCTAAAGTAATTTTTAAGTGTAATTAAACCTTTTATAACATTTGCATGAGATTACTTAAATTGAAAAAATTTATGTCTTTTTAAGGATTATAAAAAGCCTTATATCTAAATGGGTGGGATATGATATTTAAAACATTGTTGTATACAAGAAAAATTTAAACCAAGAATTACATAGATATTGTAGAAATTATGATCGCAAGCATAATACTTGTCCTCTATTTTAACATTTTCCTAAATTTTTTTAAAGGTAAATACTAATTATCAAAGAAGAACAGCTACTAAAGGTTTGAAATACTAAATTTTGGTCGATAATTTTTCTTTTTATTATTTTTGATTTATATTTAAAGTTCCCAAATACTTTAATTAGGATTACTCCTTATGACAAGCATATTTTAGATTAGATAAATATTTAATTATCGTTTTATTTTTAATAAAAAAAATTATATCGTTTAAATGGTTGTTGAGATATCAGTATTAACTTTTATCCTTAGTTCATTCTTATATATCTAAGAGTTTAATGAATATTTTAATGAACAGAAAAAAATTTTATTGGGATGGATTTAAGCAATCATACTATCTTAAGGTATAATTATAGAACTAATTTGGATTTGCAAAGATTTATTAAAATAATTAAAACAGAAATTCATAAGATAATCATAAATTGTAAATAATCCTTTGTTTACATGACTATTATTAATAAATATTGCATAAATTATAAATTAAAAAAATCTATTTATTTTAATTAATATTTTTATTATAATATCAAGATATTCAAGGATAATCTAGTATTGTATAATGAGCACCTTTTTTTCAGGAGTATTTAACATTAAGACAATTTGATTTTAAATAAAGTATATTGAAACATTTACTTTAAAATAGATATATTTATATAAAAACGTTTATTTTATTTTGAGCAACAATTTCTTTGTTACACTTGCATTAAAAACTAGAATCCAAATAAAGAGGAATTGTAAAAAGTTTTAAATTGAGCCAAGTAAGGTTTATCTTCATCATAAGTCTCTGAGTCTTTCTGCTAATTTAATAATAACAATGAGGGAATGTATGTAATATTTCAATCGATTTTTGAGAGTGTAGAGGTTGCAAATTTGATATTTTTTAGGTTTTTTCTTTAAGTTTAGTGTCAATAAAATCATGTGATTAAATACTATTCTCTTTTTTTAATTATCGATTATCTTCTTTATTTTTTTCAAAATAACATCATTTATTGTGATTTTTTGAACAGAATATTAAATATGTTCACCAAATCCAAATACAAATAATATATCAATATAAAAAAGAAGGATGAGATATATATGTATCTTTAAGCAGTTATTAGTCAAAAATTAGTAAAAAAATAAATAATAGAAATAGGGGGAAAATAGAAATTAATTTTATTTCATACAAATCGAATATATTTAATATCAAAATTTTCTAATAGTAATAATCGATCTTAAGTCATTTCTTTTATAAACTAAACTAAATATTAAACAATATGCATCATCAACTTTAATTTTTCTACAATTACCTAACCTTACCTAAAGTGGCTTTGACAGTCTTATTTTTTGAAATATTTATAACCTATAATAATAGAAATGGGAAGATTGTGATAAATGGGAATTAATATTACCAATAATTCTAATAATATTTTGATAATTAGAAAATTTAGAATATTAATCCATTGTATTTATAATTAAGGATAGATTTTGAAATATAAATTATTGTTTTAACCTTTATATGCATGATATTTATATTTTCTAATTGAAAAAAATATATATATTAATATTTTTAATATTTATTAATTGTTTAAAAACAAAAAATTGCTTAAAAGTTTTAATTTATATTAGTAATTTTTAAGATTTAATTTAAATATAAATCATTTCTTAATTCAATCATTATTTAATGTTAAAGATATAGATCTGGTTTAACATCTTTTATTAAAAATTGATAATAAATGAATCAAATTTATCAATCTAGGATATAATTTATTTAGGATACCTTAAAATTTGATCCTTATTTATTTAAAGTATTTTACAAATATGTGTTTATTGAAAAGTAATTGATGAAATTAGACTTTGAAAAATAATAATATCAATAAGATTTGAGAAATATAATTCAATTATTTATAATGTAATACTTACATTAAAAGGACAGGAATTATTACATATCTAATATACTAATGGTATTAATTATAGGAAAATGGATAATAAGATATAGAATAATTATTAAAATAAATAACCATCTAAAAATAAAAAAAATACTTCGAATTCTAAGATATAAATATCAATAAGAATTTAAATAATGTGAAAATGAATTACTTTAACATAAGATTAAAATTCATTAGATATTCTAAAAAAATGATGAGTTTTTTAATTACGAAAATTTTTATAGCTGTTTAATAAATAATCAAATATTATAATAAGATAATGGAAATCTTAAGTGGAAAAGATTATATTTTAAAAGTTTCAAATGATATTGATGATTATGAAGATGAAGAACTAATATTAGCTATTCTAAATATCACATCAGATGAATACATGAATACAATTGTAAAATTAAAAGGTTATGGATAAAAAAATTTATGTGCCAATATTATTGAAGAATCAGAAATGTTTTACTAATGCTTCGATTGCAGTAAAGATATTAATCAAGCCATTTGTAGAGAGTGCTTTATTCCTAAAAATCATAAAAGTAAATTAAATATTATAATTATAGATCATGCTGTATTTTTAGAGTAAATTCAATCTGAAATGCCAGGATATTGTGATTGTGGTGATACAATGATTTTTGAAACTGGTTCAATATGTCCTTAACATAATCATTTTTAACAAAAGTTTAAGAATGTTTAATTAGGTTGTAATTAAAATTATTGATATTAGATGATAAAGTTATTAAAAAATATGAATAATTTCTAATGATTGCCTTTGGATTATTATAAAAGAAATTTGAATTAATAGTTGATTATCCTAATGATTTATTAAAGAATATAGAAAATATAATTGAAAGTCTTAATGATGATATTTTGAAGAATTATTTAAATTCTCATAAAATTCATTTCTAATTAATTTAGGATTCTATAAATTAAGCAAAATAAATTCATAAATTAATATTGAAATGTTTAGAAATTATCACAACTGATAATATAGTCTGGAGTTCTTTAACAGCTAAAATCTTAAAGTAGGAGTTTAAATGTAAAATACAAGATAACACAATTGGATCAATTTCACTTTTGGAGTATTATATTAAATATAGTGCACATTTATTTGGATCACTCAAATTTGAATAAGATATTTCAATCTTTTTTCCTTTATTCTTTTAAGAGGATGAATTTAGAACACATCTTGTTAAAATTGTTATATAAAACTTTTAGAGATTGTATCTTCTGATTCATTCTTACAAATTAACTACAATTAAAAACGAAGAATTCTAATTTTAAATATATTAAGAAATTAATGATTAAAAATTAGCTATTTTAATTTAGCAAATACTTGCTTGTAACTAAATCTAATAAATTGTGTCTGAAAATATAATAATTAAGAGTAAAATTGCAGAAAAGTTTTATTTTTTTATTTAAAGAGGCTACATTGAAATTCTGAAGTTATACTAAAATATCAAAACTCCAATATGCTATAATCTATTTGATAATATCTCAGATATGCTCTTAAAAATGTAATAATGATTAATAATTTAGTCAATTAACTAATTATGCTTCTTTGGAATTTACTGAAACTATTTGTTGTTTTTTAGAAATGATGGGTAGATGTAAAAAAGGTCTTAAGGGATTAGTTAATTAGATTCACGAAATCCTTTCAATAGATATTCATTCCTTTTAATCACAAATATTAAATCCAAATTCTTAAGGGTTTTAGAAATTATTAAATTAATCATTATTGATTTATTCATTAACTAGGAGAAATCCATGTTAGCAAATGAACAAATCAAATTTAGAATCTCATCTAAATGAAGAGGATGAATTATCTACAAATTATTTATTAATTCTATTAATAACAAATTTATCCTCATTTAGATGTGATTTAAAATCTATGATGTTGGCTATTGGGGATTTAAATTCATATGAAGTTTAAAATATATAAAGAATAATCTTACATTATTACCTAAATAGTTTAGTAACAGTATTCAATTTAAAATATTAATCTTCACTGCAATTAATCTTATCTAATTTAGTCTTAAGTGATAGAAATTTTATAACTGTTTTATCTATATACTTAATGAATTTTTCAAATTCTAAATAAGCATATGATGATATACTAGAGATTAGTGGATAAAATAGTAAATAATTAAGACTAATTATGGGTCATATATTAAAAAGGGCTATTTTAAATTATTTGATTGTTTTAGATAACATTTACTACTAAGGGAAATAAAACTTATTGAAGGATTTAGAAGATGAAGTATCCCTTTAAAAGGTGGATTTAGCCTATATCTAAATTTATGCTTTTCTATTTTAAGAATAGGGAATCAATGACATTATTTAGTTTTATATTGAAATAGCATCCCATCTTAAATAAAACAGAAATTCAGGTTTGTTAATTTGTACAATTGCTTAAACAGATAACGATTTAATATAATGTGTTGGAAACATTATTGGAAATTAATTAAATATTTAATTATAAAAAGGATTGCATAAATTATTTTAAACAATATTTTATTCTTAAACATTTTATTAATTGAATGAAATGAAGAGTATACTTAAATCATTTATTAATGAAAGTTTTAAAGATTTTGAAAGTTTGATTTTGTATTCTTGTGAAAGAAATTAAGATAATGGTTAATTGTAATTAAAAAAAGAAATTAAATTACCTATTTATGAACCAATTTATGCTTCATAAAATTAAGAAATTAAAGACAAAATTAATGATAAATTATAAATGTAGAATGATAAGTTTGCTGAATTGTTTGGATCCTCATTATAATATGAATTATAATATTATAATACAGATAAATCAACTCTTACTAATATTAGATATGAAATACTTAAAGCAATATCAAATGATAATTAATAGTATTTACTAAATAGCATTTTAAATGATTTGTAAAATACTTTTTAATCAAATTTGGAATATAATATAATAGTAAATCAATCAATTAAGATTTTACAAGAAAATGCCATATATATTAATTTGTTAATTTTATCTAATTCATTTTTTAAATCCTCTAATATTATCATTTAATAAAGATTGGATAAAATTTTACATTATTGCTAAACAATTTTATCAAATTAAAAAATTAATAATACATAAAAGTACTTTTTTCAAGTCTACTGCTCAAGATTAGAAAATTAGAACTTAATTTAAAAATTGGATGAAGTCAATCATCATTAATAATAATAATCTAAATCTTAAAAGCATCAATAATATAAATAATAATTACAATTAAAATTCAATTAAATGAAGAATAATTTTAATAACAAAATTAATAATAATGAATAACCTATAGAAGAAATTGATGAAAAATGTTTATTATGTAAATTACCATTCGAAAAAGAGGATCAATAATACTTACCAATTTTAATTTAATACACAAATATCTATTAATATTTACATATTTTTTAAATTTAACCTACTAAAGAAATCAATATTTTATCAGTACATGTTTCAAATTGTAATCATATTTTTCATGCTGAATGCTTGAAACAATAAATAAATACTTTTAATGATAAGAATCTAAAATTTTTTTAATGCCCTTTTTGTCATTCTCCTTATAATTTCATGTTACCATATTCAAATAAAAGTTAATATATAGAAATTTAACAATTTTAATTTTCAATTGAAGCTTTCTTAGAATCACTCTTCAACAACAATTTAGAAATTTTTGAGAAAAATTTTGACAATTAGGAATTTGATGGTTATTAATTTCTAGATATAATTTTATCTTAAATATTATGTAATTTAACATTCTAATTATTGAGTGATTTAGAGAATTTTATTTAAAAGAATCAACATCTATTTATATAAAAAATTATAGATTAGATGAGATCATTATATAAAAATTCAGTTTCTAATCTAATTGAAAACATTAAATTAAATGAAACTGAAATGTTATTTCAAATTTTAAAATTAATTTACACTCACCTGATAAAAGAACATAATATTTATAATTTTTAGTAAAAGCTTTCAATATTACTAAATCCAAACTTTGAATTGGCTAAAATATTATTTGTAGTATTTACATAAAGAAAAATTAATATATAAATTAATAATAGATTATTACCTTATGACATTTAAATAATTAAGGATTAATTCAAAAAAGAATTATTTAATGTCTTAACAAATAATTATGGTTCATTCTTAGATTAGAATTACTTACTTCCTTGTTAAAAGAAAAATTGTTAATTTCCTAAATTAAAATTAGAATCTAAATTTCAAGGATAATATATTTGTCTTATATGTTTCAAAAAAATGTGCCCTGGATATTGTGGTAAACTTAAGCATGTATATATATATAAACATTTATATTTTAGCATAATCTCGGAAATGTATATAGACACTCCCAGAAGAAACATTTTAGGAAATGTGTATTCCTTGATATTGAAAAAAGCTAAGTTTTATTAATATATTCCCCTTTTTATTAGATTATGCCCAATACTCTATTTACTGATAAAATAGGAGATTCACCTATCAAGGGTCCATATCCAATGCAACATTATAAGAAATTTTAATTAAATATGAAAACATTGGATCAAATATTTGAGATAATTATAGAAGAGAAGTACATAAACAAATTTCTTGAAATTTGATTAATTTTATGAACCTTTATGTTCAATACAAATTTTATTTATAAATTCTATTAATTTATCAATTAAAATATGAAAAAACATTATTGTAATTTTTTAAAATAGGAAACTTGAGAATTTAAAAATTTGTTAAATAATAATTATATAAAATGAAAATTGAGTTAATTAATCATTATTAATTAATACAATTATAATTTTTCAGTCAATATTTTATGTTTACAATTAATTTTGGTTAAATATTAGTACTTTTTTAAAAATAAAAATACTAGACTTAAACTTTATTATCTATTACATTTCTTAAATTTATATAAATATAATTGCTTTTAAACTGAGATTTGAATTTCCCCCAATTTCCATATTGATGAATTAGGAGAATAAATCAAGAGTTAGATTGAAAATAAAGAGATTTTTTATAACATTTTAATTAATAACCCCACTTAATTTAAGAGTATATTTCATTATGTTTTAGCTTATCAATGTAGGAAATCAATTTTAAAGATACATAAGGGTTCTTATTTTCCATTTATTTCTTAGACATTTTATTTCTTTTTCTTTAATTTCTAAAAGTAATATTTTGCCCAATAATTAATCCAAAAATTTACCATCCTTTTGACCATTATATGATTATTATGTAGATTTTTTTTTAATTTTACAACTTTTAATCTCAAAAACTTGATAATATGTTGATGATAAGGTAAAATTATTTATAATAAGTAATAAGTTTATATTTCATTTTTCTTTATCTTTTAAAATATTAAATAGAATAAATTCAGTAAAACATTGATGCAAAATTTAAATATTGAAAACTAAATCAAATAAAAATAATCTGATTCGTTTATTAGAAATTCGTATAAAAGATGAAAATAATTGAATTAAATTCATATTCATACTAAGTTTCTCAACTATGTTAATGAAAATAAAAAATAAATAAAAATTTTCAGGAATGGAAGTAGTTATCTAATATTAAATCAAATCCGTACTATATAGTTTCTATAATATTTAGGGTTAAGATTGAAATTCAATTCATAGACATATAAATTATATTAACATTAAAAATATATATATGCACTATTTTGAATCTGTTCGTAAAATCTTTGAAGGTTATAATATATAATAATACAATAAGATACTTCTAAAATAGAAAAGCAAATATTTGTTCATTATTTATTGTATAAGAAATTAATTATATAAGAATGTTAAGAGAATTAATAAATAAAAAGCAGCTGCTAATCTTGCAATTATTTTTTATAATAACATCAAAGTCACCACAATTAACCCACTGTTGAAACCTAATTATTATATGTATTAAATCTCATATATTAATTGTTTAATTCAAATAAAGTCACCATTATTCAAACATAGATATGTTAATTTTTATTATTATTTAGATAAAATTTTGAGACAATAAACTATTTTCTTTGGTGCTCAAATTTAGTCATAATTTTTTTATTGAATATCCATAAAAATGGCATAAATTTTAATATATTAGATTTATAAAAAAATTAAAGATTTGAAATAATTTATGGATAATTAAATAACAAAGATTTAATTAGCCCTTTTAAATCACTTCATTCAATCCATAATATAAGTCCATAAAAATAAGGATTAAAAAATAAATTATTGAAAAGAATTACAAAAGACTAACAATAATATTAAACTAAAGTTCTTAATTTTCAACCTTCTAAAATTAAGAACTTTGGGAATTATAATGATGCAATTTAATATGAAATGAAATTCAAATAATTAATAATATAATAAAAATTTAAGTTTTATTACATTAATATAGCATAATAAATAAAATAAATATAATTATTATTTGATGATAAATATTCATGTTTCTGTTTTTTCTTTTAAATATTCTTCAAATATTTCAGAATCTGCTTACTCATAATCCTTTTATAAGCTTGCTAATCCTTCTCTTGCTTCTACGAATTCTCCTTCCTCCATCCCCTCTTATAGATACCAATACACAAAGGCTTTTTATGCAAACATTAAATCATATTAATGGCATAGTTTTGAAAAGATTTAAGTTATTGCTGTTGTATTTGAAATCATACATGCAGATCGTAAAACTTTACATATATCATCTTCTTGTAAGGTTTATTGAACTTGGTGATTAATTCCTACCCTAAAGCATGTCGGAACCCAATCAACAAATGTAATAGTTTTTTAAGTTTTTAATTATGAGATTGAATAGCTTACATCTTTAGGAATGATATCTCCTCTATACAATATTGATAATGACATATATTTCCTCTATCTTGGATCGCATTTCACCATCATATTTTCTGTTTCAAAAGCAAGTTTTGAAATTTCAACAGTCGAAAGTTACACATGGTCCATCTTGAAATGAGTTATTATAGGAGCATAAGAGGAAATCAAAAATTTGAAGATGGGATAGGGAACAAGGGAAGTTTGCAATTCTGATATATCAGTAAATAGTGCTCCATTAAATCTCATATCTACTGTTATTTATGAAATCACTTGAGCTATCATCCTATTCAAATTAGAATATTTTGGTGTTTCAATGTCAAGACTATTCTTACATATATCATAAATTGCTTAATTATCCATAGGTATACAAACATCAGCATGTTCTAATAAAGATTAAGTTGCAAAAATAGAATTATAGGGTTCAACCATAGAAACAGAAGTTTCTGGTGATGGATAAATATTTATACTCAATCTAGATTTTTTATTATAATCATCTGATAATTTTTCAAATAACAATGTACCTAAACCAGAACCTGTCCCTCCACCAACTGAATTGAACATCATAAATCCTTAAACTGAAGAACAATTATCAGCAAGCATTCTGATTCT